CTATGCCACTGAGTCGTGTCTTTCGATCTCAAATCGCCTAACACCCGCGGTGAGGTAATATCCAATAATAGCTTTTAATAATACACAGTTAGAGTCTATTTCGTTACCACATTACCACAAATATCTGGTACAAAAATTTTGATTTGACGATGACATAAGTGATTCTTGGGTTGAAATGAAAATGGTTTAGTAAAAGAATTTGCGTTGTGTCATGAAATATTTTTGCTACCAGTAACACAAAAATCATTTTCTCTAAGGTAAGATTTTAATAAAAAAAAAGAAAATGAAAATTTCTCCTATATCAACTAACTTGCTGACTGACGAATCGTTATATTTTGAACTAGCTTCTGCCCGCGACTTCGTACGCGTACCATCCCATTTTTTCCCGTTCCCGTTCGTGATTTTCGGAAAAAAGGAAAAAAATTTTTTGGTTAAAAAGTATTCTATGTCAGTCTAGCAAGCTACCTCCCTACCAATTTTCAGCCAAATCTATTCTGCCATTCTTGAGTTTTAAGTGGTGTAACTAACACGACTTTCTTTTATATATATAGATTTACAACTTTCTACACGAGCTCTTCAATAACGTGTTAATTTGATAATGCCGGCACCACAATCTCGTACGACTCAAGCTAAGGTCGAGATACAATGTCGTTATTCTAACATAACTGTAGTCCTTCTCGCATTATAAGACTGCAATGTACGTCAAACACGTGCCCGTTAACGCGAGTGTGGTGCCGGCATAATCATCAAATTACACATTTAAAGTTATTTTTGATGTAGATCATAGAAAATATATGTATTACAATAATAATATACAATATTATTTTTTTCTTTTACTTCAGCTATACAAGATCTACTTATTAACATCCAGTATATACCAATACACATCCAGTATAAACAACACTTATCTTATTATGTTCTGTGATAACGCTGTTCCTACGTCACCTACATTAGAATTCAAAGTCACGTCTCTAAAGAATTCAGACTTTATTTTAATGATTAAACGTGACTCATTAATTATAATCTTATTCGTATTGCTTTACTTAGCATTTCAAGAAATTATATTTTATTTACTAAAGGAATTTCGTTGAGCTACATGACTACAGAGCGTAAGGTTCAGTTTAGGTTCAGTCGAGTCAGGTAAAAAACACATTTACTCCTTAGTGGTTTATATAGAAAGGTTGCTGAGGGCCAAGCACGAATAACTATCGCATTCGTATCGTAGCAGTATCGAGCGCGTTAAGCGTTCTGATTGGTTGGTTCACTTGAGCCGGCCAATCAGAGCGCCGAACGCGTTCGATACTATTACGTTACGAATGCGATAGTTATTCGTGCTTCATCATCAACAGCTTATAAATGCCCACTGCTGAGCAAAGCCTCTTCTCACATGGAGAAGGTTAGAGCAATAATCACCACGCTTGCTCAATGCGGGTTGGCGATTTCAAACTTATAATTAGAAATTATAAGCCCAGGTTTCCTCACGATGTTTTCCTTCACCGTTGGTCAGTGGTGTCTAAATAATCTTAGAAAGTACATTTAACTCGGAAAAAGTCACATTGGTACTTGCCGTTGGTAAGTTTCGAACCTGCACCCTCGTGCATGAGAAGCAGGTGTCTTCAACCTCCGGGCCACCACGACACCGTGCTTGGCCACCACGTATTCGTGCTTGGTACTCAGGTTTGACAGTAAATTTATTAATTAGATCAAATTCAAATTCATTTAATTCAAGGCATTTTTTAACATTAAAATATCAGTCGGTCAGTCCTCAAAGACAGTCTTTGATCATCTACTGCGGAAGATTGTAAAGTAAAAATTTCGGGCTTATCAGAGAGCGTTGCTGCCTAGCTTACTTCCTTTGTGGTCTCTTACGATACACAAAGAATAGGGGTGATAAAGCTAATGTAAAAATCTAGAATTGATACGTCTTCTACTACCTCAGTACCTAGGGACTAATTTTTGACAGCGTCAATGTTTGGTGAATATTATATACTAGCGACTTGCCCCGGCTTCGCACGGGTGTAATATGCCTGTATTATACATATAAACCTTCCTTAAGAATCACTCTATCCATTAAAAAAATCGTATCAAAATCTGTTGCGTAGTTTTAATGATCTAAGCATACATAGGGACAGACAGACGGCGGATAGCGACTTTGTTTTACTGTGTAGTTATGATCTGTGTTTATGTTAAAATTTTCATGAGAGCAGTAATGAAAACGGTTATGCTGAAGACTGAGTCATAAAGTGAAGGCCTGCATAATAAGACAGAAAAATACAGAGCACAAACATATAAAATAGGTTCTTTTGTATTTCTTGTTTTCGAAAATACTCCAAGTCCTCAGCAAAACATGAACTCTTCAGATGCATTTGGAATTTAAAGATTGTTCGGTTCAAAATAGACGGCATGCATACAGTCATATATACATGCATGTGGTATTCAGTTTTTTTCTTTTTTCGAGTATTCTTCAATAAATTTTACAGGTTAAGACGATTTCTAAAATTCTATAAAAGCATTTATAAATTTAAAAATATTATTTATTAAAAAATCATAAAAGGTTAATTGTGAAACGTAGTTTCCAAAATGACTGCAGATTATGGAGCGAAAGTGATAGGTAATTGAGGTTTTTATTATAACAATGCCTTTTATATTTTTTGATCACAAAAAGATATCGATAGACCAATAAATAATGCTTTATAGAATTCAGAATCAAATTCGAGAGCACTTTTTGGCAAACGCATTGGCTTGTCTCTATATATGAAGTAGATTCAATATGTGTTCGAGATACACCTTGTTATGTCTCACACTGTTTTAAAAATAACTACTAATCTCAAAATTAAACATCAATACAATATAATATTCACATCACATTACTTGAAAACGTACGTCATAAATAAAACGTATCCCCAAACAAATAGGTCAGCACGTTCACTCTTATATTAAACGTGTTTAAATCGGGATTTCACTCTCATTCAAAATACTCAGTTTATTTTCATACGGTATCTAGATCAGCTGACGTATACAACTTTAGTTGTCTAAGAATTCCATCAATCAATTGGAATATGACCCCAGCCGGATGCGTACGTTGTAAAACTTGTCTAAGAAATAAAAAGCTATGTGTCCTTTTTTCTGGACGAAAATTATATTGCTTTCTCAAGGACTGATTGACAGATTTTATATGCTGAATTCTTAGGATATTGTCGTAAAATAAGAGCTCGATTGTGAGCTATGTTCGGGCTATCTGTATGTTCGCGTATTGACCCTAAATCTTAATCTTATTACAAATATAAACAAATACCGCTTTGTCTGACTCGAATTAAAAATCAGAAGTAGCAATAATTTGCCGTTTAACTCAAAACAAAGACATGCCAAATAAAATCTACACGAATTCAATAATAGACATTGTGGGTGAGACAAATATGCGAAATGCATTGGCAACACGGTGCAAAACAGTAATGCAACGACCTTCCAAGCTCCAGAAATATCCAAACCGTCCTCAGCTTTCTCCACAATAAACGCTATTCCAATATTTGCCAGAGAGAATGAAATAAACAGTCGGGATCAGAATGCATGACATAATCGCCACATAGATCCGTGCCAGTGTGCCAAAACGCTGCCGCTAACTCTGGCGCCGCTTTTTTGGCTACAAGTCAAGAGGTTATAAGGTGAATGTGTCGAGAACCACTCTTCATTGTTACAATTTAAATATACATGACAGCACAACAAGTTACCCTACACAGTCAAAATTAGTTAATAGATTTTCAACCCTAACACTAAATCGTAAAGTTGAAAGAGCCTGGACACTTTGCAATAGTGCTATGCCCATACATGCTAACCATTTCTAACTAGGCCAATATTTGTGTGCAAACGGAGATCTTTCATACAACAGTTGCAGTAAGACCCTAAAGTATGTTAGCAATGAACATGTGCTGTATGTATTGTGAAAACAGTTGGGATGTGCAAAGTGTCTTTCATTACAGTGTATTTTCAGCCTTTTGCCAAGAACATAATGCAACTGTGTGTGTTTATTAACGTTTGATCTGCTCATCAATTATTGCTGCAAATTATTGGTATTGCCCTGAACGGTTCTGTTAAATCTATCGTCTTAATTTATGTTTAGAATTCTTGTGTGTCTAGCAGACAGATTATTTTCTTATGGCATTCTAATTAATTGCTTATATCATTTACATTTGGCTCTTTTTCGTTTAACAGTTGGACATGTAGTAGTACATTAAGAATTTAAAGATCTTATTTAGTTGGATTGTTCCCTGTTGATTACGTTCTAAAAAATTTAATGTTCCTTGATTCCTTTATATACTAGCATTTGTACCAAACCTTCAAGATTTGCCAACTATGTCCCATTTAAACAGTAGCAGTCTACATCGGCCCTAACCATTGTCATTTTACTTGCTAATATAACTGACCTAAGCATAATGCATCCTGTTATCTCGCTCCTTGTATTGTCCTGTATCTTGATAAGACTTAACTTGAGCAAACAATGTACTACTGCAGTGATAATGGAATGGAGATAACCTTGTTGATAAAAATATTGTCGTAGGAAGGTAAATCATTCTAATTTCTGTTGGAAATATTGAGTTGCTATTGATAGTATTATGATGTACTGCATGATTTTGAAGATTGATAAAAGATAAAAATTCTGCAGTAGGCCAAGTGTGTCACGTAAAATCATCGGTTGCGTCAGTATGACTAATGACGTCTTATATGATATCAAGTAATTCAATACCAAAGTCAATTTCGATAACGTTAAGCCAGAAAATCCAACAAAAGAACAATTAACAGTTAAATTAAAAACGTATTCAGTAAATGTTTTTTTAGAAAGCTGTAAGATTTTTTGTCGTGTCCGAGGTTAGGCTTCACACTTTTTGCGTTTCAAAACAAAATAACTCGATGTTTTGGCTGTGTGTTGTTCCAAAGTTTCAGGTTACTCAAAAACAATGGGGTTTTTTGTTGAAAACAGCGGACCATTTAGTAACAAAAAGGCTTTACTCACATTTCGGTAACGGAGCCGTCGGTGTGTTTGGTGATTTCACAGCCTGCTTCGAGACCACCTCGTCCGCCTTCGTCTCCGCTGTATAAACAAAAAAGATCACATTACAAATCATTTCCCTCAATAGTACTCTCTTGTTACACGGGATTTCGTAATTCAGTACCTACAAAAAGCATTTTCCTCGTACCTCAATTTGAGCAATCGGGATTTGTTCTTCGTATTACTTTCTTGTTTATTACTTTTGGGTATTTTGAAGTATTATACTTATATTAGAAAATAAAATTATAATTATTATTATTTCACTGAAATTGGATATCAATTTACACTTCTGTGAGCTTATACTCGTAAATATACATTTAAAAATTTATTAAATGACAGCAAAAATAATTAAACTTCAACTTTATTGCGATATCAAAACAAACCCTCAAACACCAAATAAGAACAACCTTGAGAGTTCAAAGTACTAAAAGCTAAAATATCCGAGATTTAATCCCAGCGATACATCAAAAGAGTTTAGTCATGTTTATTTAAACAGGGAAGACATCAGTGGGCAGGCTCGTAATCGCACAATGTATTTGAATAAACGTTTGACACAAAGAACACTATAAAATAAGACGAAGAAGGAAAAACAAAAGCAAATATGAGGTCCTTACATACGATAAATTATTTGAAAGCAGAAGGCCTTGCTTACTTTGTTTATATTATGTACTTGACAACCAAGCTATAAGTTCCAATAATAACTTATACTAAAACAAATCTATATATGTGGGTATTAGAGATTACAAAAATATGTATTGGTTTCCTGCGATAATTATTTGAATGTATGAATGTTTGGCTCCAGATATAATAAAACATATGATTCTGATTCATCGGTATATTAATTTTACGTACTAAGGGGGAAACCATCATCAGCAAAATCTGGAAAACCATATCATTAAAAATCCAAACAATACAAATACAAATTTTAATCACACAGCTAAAATGAATTTATACAAATTCTGTAACTACCTGTTGATGTTATCCGAATGAATCATAATGAATGGAGCGGTGGAATCGTTAACGTAAATCCACCCACGGGTACCAAGAAACAGTAGTCCACTTACCATAATATCGAATAAAGAAAACTGATACGATTAGGAAATGTCATTCGAACAATGAAACGGTAACTGGCGAAGATTTAACTGGAGTAGGTGCAGCTGTCGATGTAGTATCAGTTGCTACATCTGCATTGAGAACGAATGGATTAATTTTCGAAACAGTTCCGATAATTCTAAATTTAGCCACAGGCCACGGCACACTGTTATTTATAAGGGGTGTTGTTGTAATCAAAGCACAGCACTTCCCGGCAGTGCGTTACGATTAGCTGACCACTAACTACAGAGTTAAAACTAAATGCGATGCGAGTCGCCCGTTTAGAATCTGGTACCAGGAAATGCATACGATCGGTACATTTGGCACCGAGCTCTGTTCCAACAACCTATTGAAACGATACTTTAAATAAATCACGTCTTTCTAATGTATGTGTATATACTATTATGAAGATAAACATCGCTTGTACTGAAGGTAAAGAGTAAGGATAGAGTTAGAGTCCAAGGTGAAAAGTAGTAGGTAAATAGTTTCGGTGAACATATGTTTTCCAATTATCTAAAAATAAAAGAAAATGATCATAAAACAGTGCAGTCACTCTCGATTTGATTGACCTGTTAGCCTGGTAATGGATTACGCACCATCATAGAACTTCATATCGTAACATGAATCATGTATGTATTTAAACTTGCTCGCCTAACGGAGGGAGGCCCAATTAGTAGTAGGTAGTGCTCTGTGTTCTAGTTTCTCTGTTTACCACCTTTGAGTCTAAGATGAGAGTTTATGAACGGAGATTCTCATTTTAAATATCAAAATTATACATATACAACTGTTGGAATGTCATGAAGCTACGCTAATCGTTTAGGCAATCAATTTTAATTAACCAATGACGAGGGTACAATTCCACAAAAGAAAATCTAAATCAGAAAACGAATGTTTGTCAACTAAACTGTTAACATTGTAGAAATTCCTACAGCGAAATTAGAACCGTTTTTTATCATATTGAACTGAAGAATTTAATAATTTATGACCGTGTCAGTTACAGAGCACATTTCTTATTCAGATCCTTGGAGCTATTTCAATATTCAATCAAAGAGATACCATTAAAATTTCGTGAGCAAATATTTGATTTGATTTATTGAAACTAGCTTAACGAGATGTCAAAGTAAAATCAGCTTCACAGGACGATTACAAAATACACAGAAACTATAATGCTACAGCAATAAAATAAACAATATTTTATACAATCCTGTTTTTAAATTCGTTAGGCATTACATGAAACGCTTTGAAATAATAAATAAACAAACTTAACTTACATAGGCATTCAATTCAGGAATCACATATGAAGACACACAAGCAAGATCACAAGGGACAAATAAACACAACACTACAAAGTACGGGATACGAGTCTATCGGTCTAATAGACGTATGTATAATTGTACACACACCGGGTCTACTAGACCACACTGGCCTACGGAGGCCAGAGGGCAACTGTGACAGGGCGCGCATTCACAATGGACACTTTCTGTATGTAAATCACAATAAAATACCAGCTTTGTGCTCTGATTGCGACACGCTAAACTAAACACCGAACGTCAACTATGGTAGTCAGTTTTATAAGCAAATTTTGACTCTATTCAGTACATTATACGGCCATACATCAGGAATAAGGGGGAGTCGAAGGCCAAATGGAGAATGAGGGGATCGACAATGAAGCAACAGCGAGAGAAATGCAACAGGTAACTGATGCAATAAAGCTTTAAAATACTGACTTCAATTGGTGAATAAATCAGAGCAGTAGACTAACAAACAGACTATAATTCATAGCTAATTTATGTACAGCTTGACTGTAGTAAATCCAATCATGTAATTCCATAATCAGTGAACAATAGCAAGGAGATGTATATCAGTATCAACACGCATAAATAGAGCTTACAGAATGTAACCGATACTTAACAAAAGCGATAGTATCGGATTCAAGTCTAGTGGAGCTCCATGATCGTCTAACAGAGCCCTCTTGTTTATACTTTACGATACGGGAGCTCTTGATGTTATGGAATGCTGATTGTAATACAAGATGATACTACCTAACGAAATAATAAAAACTTTAAAATTTTGAAAAATTTTACGCTAAAACTGGAGCAGATTCAAGGCTACGGACTATTTATGACAAAAAATGAAGGAGCTTTTGATATTAAAGGGCAAGCGATTAAAAAAGTTTAAAAATAATTTTATCTGTGCTTTTGGTTAGCCCAAATTAGCTGTTACCGAATTAAGCAAGATACACAAGACTAAGTCTTAAAATAGTCATTGTAAAAATTAATTTTGTCCTTTGCTCATCACATATGTCATCATCACACATCGTATCCGTATCGTAAGCCATAAAGCATATCGTTCACCGAATGCACATATCCGTGCGTGTTCGCAGTGATTGACATACAATATATTGTCCGATGGCAAGGTGTGGTGGATTGTCAGCCTAATTGTGCGAGACCAAAGTTTAGTTAGGACCATCCATCACTTTGATACATGTCTAGCCTATTCAACGCTAACCAAAAACTGGGACACGGAAACGCGAAATAATTTGTCATTGTATACTTGTTTATTAATTGTCTGCGGTCTTCGGTCGTCTACGATTATGTCAGTTTGATTGATAGAAACGGAGCCGCAAAAGTTCTTTAATTTGAAAAAGAACTTTGTTAATTTTTTCGTGTCTAAAATGGTATCTAAGCCATGTCTTTTTTTTTAAGGGGGGAAAATCATCGAGTGAATGCTCCCGCCTACGTGATGCGGGAGGGAGTGTCAGACTCTTACTGGCTAAAAACCACCCCGTTCCTTCTCCTGCACGTCGAGCCGAAGCCCCGGTAACCCGTTAGGTTCTCCGCGACTCCGAATCGGCATCGGCCCTGTTGGGCCCCATCTGTGGTGGTCTGGTGGATCTTTGAGGTGCGCGCGGAACGCGACGCGCCGTACGCTCGGGTCTGTTTCTGGTCGGACGGGGAGCCACCCATGCTTGCCGTCCGCAGGCCCGCAATCTAAGCCATGTCTACGTTTAATATTTTCTATATGAAATTGTATTTGGTTCTTAGGAATTAATTGATGTTGTAATATAGACATAGATATTATTTGATGCAGAATGCAAACAGATGGGCAATTACTATCATTAGATTCATTAGTCATTATAATAAATAGAACATTAATATGAATAACTATGCGTGCTGGTGGGCCATATTGCTAAAGAGATGTCACACAACAATCGATATTAATGGTTCTAAATATAATTGCTGACTGCCCCGTTGGCCGAATGTTCGCAATTCCGACTGCTGGGGTCTCGGGTCCAATTCCCGGGTCGGGGATCGGGGATAATTGGTTATCTCAGAGTTAATTATAATCACAAAAAAACTTAAAAGCAATTTAATAGTCTGTAAATAACTTAAAAACAATAGCTTTATAATAGACTGGTTTTACAAACAAATAATAACTCGAGTAGTTATCCTCAATGAAGCTAAACAAAGTACAGCATTGATGCTCGTTTACCCCTAATAAAGTAGGTAAGTAGGTGGGCTGCCAATAAAATCATTTATTCTTCGTTAATCCGCCGGTGGTTATGGTAACAATCCCTGGAGAGCATTCGTTAAACAGGGGTAGTGAAGATGAATGAACATTATTCTTGGGATACTTAGCGAAAGTCTCTTATTATTGGTGTATGTGATTGACAGGTTTCCTTGTTGTTTAAGTGTAGAACTTATATTTAAAATTGGGGGTCGAGCTTAATTCCCAAATTGGGTAAAAAATGTAGTTCAGATATTTTATAGAATAGAAGGTAAGGGGTAGGATCCCCTGATGATACACCATCAGCGCCAGCGCAGCCCAAAGAGTAACCTATGGAGTTTCTTGCTTGTTCTTCTCCATGGGAATCTACACATTAGAACAAGCAAATAGCGGCATTAGAGGACTGACCGGAGGATTGACATTTTTTCTTTAATATTTCAATA